CATGCTTAGCTATACTTCGCAAGTTGTAAGGTCATTTTACACACAGTACCAGCCTGTGGCTTGATGTTATATAGCCAGGCTCACACATTCCCTTTTCCCCTGCCCTACTGTCCTCAGGTGTTCCAATTCAATTAGTTGCTTGGTGTAAATCATAGTTTGTCATTATATCTGAACTGGTAAATGTTGGTCTGCTTTTGCCCTCCAGACCTCTGGCTTGGTCATGTAATGGCAGACTGTAGTTGGCATTAGCACTTGTTGTGAACAAATCCACTGCTGGAGACATTAACCTACTGCCAGGGGTTGTTGAGATGAAAGTAAAATGCACTATTGTGCAGTATAAATAATAATTTTGATATAGCTTCAGTGTGTCAGGAGACAAACTCTTTTGATCCAAGCCTGCTCAAAAGTGTACATCCCCAAACCTTCAATTATTCTTTGCCATGTTAGATTGCATAGAACTACTATGTGAACATCAGAGCTGCCAGAATTGTTTCTTATGTAAAGTCCATCAGATGTTGCTCACAGTTTTACTGTTACGAAATCTAGAAAGCTGAGGTTCAGAAGATGTTGAATCCTGCTCTTGAACATCAAAGTGTGAGCCTGCACAAAGATACACATTAAATATAGCCTTGGTGATGACGTGCCATTTCAGCAGTCTTGTCCAAGGTAGATGTAAGGAGAATCACAAGAGAGGAATGTCAGCCATTTTGGTGATCAAAACGTAGTTAGGGTCCAGCTAGTCATGATGGCATCCCTGGGTCTAACCCGTGAATGCCACCAACCATTTTAAATCCTAACAAGGTCATTTTAAAGTGCTGCGAGGGCCTGGTTATGATTGGGCTTGCGGCACGGTGGGATGATGCACTTTTGTTCTTCTCGCCTCTGGTGCCTTTGCAAGTGCCCAAACAGCTGTGTGGGGGGTGTTGTTGTTTCAGCACTTGAAAAGTCATAGAGGAAGGAAATGAGTGCCTCATCCCACTGCACTTGTGGCATTTTTAAATTCCCGCGTTAGACTTCAAAATGGCAGCGGTGTTCATAGGTCTGACCCAGGGACACGGTCACATCTAGTTGGGCCCTAAAGTTCTAAAATTTCAAAATGTTTGCTTTTTTTAAATGTTTTTAGGCTACAAACATTCATATTTCAAGTTCTCTTGAAAAACAAGGAATTAGAGTTTTTCCCTCTCTAAGAAAGGATGGGGAAATATTGCTTATTTTAAATAAAGATATTTTTGGAGTTCATTCTTCATTTGATCCAGTTTGTAAAACTTGTGTATGTCCATATATATCTTCTGAATATATATATGTACTGAATATATGTACCTGGCCAAGAATTTAGCTACATGTAGTAGTTGGATTATTTGGGGGTACATATTTTGAATTGGAAGCTTATTGAGCTTCACAACCAAACTGAATTTTTAATGGAGGCTTCAGCATAATGAAATAAAACGTGATTGAGGATTTTATAACACTTTTATCAGCCAGGCCTAAGTGCTATGCAAAACAAAAGCACCTTTGTTCACTACTTCATCTGATAGTGGTGGAAAGTCCCATCAAGTTGCAGCTGACTTATGGTGACCCCATAGGGTTTTTCACGGCAAGAGATACACAGAAGCGGTTTGCCATTGCTTTCCTCCATGTAGATGGATGGGCCAGGGCCAACCCTGCTTAGCTTCAGAATCTGATGAGATCGGGCTAGCCTGGGCCATCCATCTGGTACCATGTATATCTTCGAGACTGCCTCTCCCCATATGAGCCCCGGAGGGCATTGCGCACTACGAATCAACATCTGCTGATGGCCCCTGGCCCTAGGGATATCCGACTTACCTCAGCTAGGGCCAGAGCTTTTTTAGCTCCCATCAGAAATTAGGACCCTGTGAGAGCTTTTACAGTTCTGCAGGGCCTGCAAGATGGAGCTCTTCCACCAGGCCTTCAGTTGAGGTAGCGGGTATCCAGTTCAATCTGGCCTCCCCCCTCCCCCCCCCCAATGAGTCGCTCTTATATGTCTGTTGAGGTAGAATTTATTTTAAAATATTTAGTATTGTACTTATTTTATTGCATTTATTGTATGTATTTTGTTATTCTGTTTTTATGATATAAATCTGCACTTAGCAGATGATTACAGGCTGGAACCCACCCTGAGCCTGCTTAATGAGAAGGGCGGGATATAAATAGAAGGAAATAATATAAATAAATAAATGTTAGGAATTGGCTGCCATGGTAATTTGAACTCCATAACTAAACTCGAAAGTCAGAGGAAAGCGAGGAGGATGGCTGTAAAGATACGTTTAAAATATTTTCATTTTGAACATTTTTATCCTCCATTTCTGAACAGGAAAACAAGGAAAGAGAGGCCCATGAACTTCAGCAGCGGCAGCGTTTAAAGGAGCGGGGAGATAAACGTCTGTCATGGGTTGTTGGAGAGCTTGGGGCTTTTGGCAGGAGCAGCAGTGAAAGTGATGTTGGTACACTGACTAGGAGAGGACTTGAAGATTTTCTACCCTTCTTGCAGCAGAGACCCCAAAGTCCTTCCTACAGAAATGCCAGCATTAGGCGGTCCCGTCATTCCTTGGGCATCACTGCAGAACGAGAGCTGTTGGCTTTCCTAGAGGTCTCAAAGGATGAGGAGCCAAACAAGTCAAACAGCCTCCCCCGTGCACAAGCAAGACCCAGTGTAGCTTGGACTGAATCTGAAGAGTCTGAAGAGCATCGTTTAACTAACTCACACTTACATCGGGCATCTGAAGAAGGCACGGACTGCAGTTTTTTCTGGTCATCCCCACCTCAGCCTGGTCTCATAGAAGATGTAGAGGAGTTAGATACTGCCAATGAACAAGAGAGTGTGGACAGTGACAAGTACAGGTTCAATGTGCCTTGTATGGAAGCCACAGGTACAGCTCCGTGGGATCTGTCTGTTGAGGAACATGAACTTGTTACTGGGCTGCTTAAGTTTGACCTCCATGGAGCAAATACTACAGAGGACCCATCCACAGTTCATTTTGAGATTGGTGGGACAGATCTGAAGACTGGCATTGCAGGTGATACAGTATCACCATGCAGAACATCTAGAGAGACTGTTTATAAGGCTGAAGATGAAGCTCCAGAACTTAGTAGTGATAGTCCCAATTCTACAGATAGTAGTGTTTCAGGAAATAAGGTGCATGGGCCATCCTTCTGCATATCAGATACTACTGACTGTTCTTTGACACTTGATCTGTCAGAAGGAAATGGTGGAAAGCTCAGTGGCAACAAAATGAAAAAAGAAGATGGTGCCATGGCCCTTTTTATGAATGACCTGCAAACTGGTGGCAGATCTCTTTTAGGTGTCAACTCTTCATTTCCAGTTGATAAAGAAGACTCTACCAGCAAGCTTGGTCTTCCTAAGGAAAGACATGTAAAGAGCAAAGACGCATCAGGACCAAAGAGAAACTCCCTAAAAGATAAATCTCCAAATTCCACAAAATCCAGCAGCGGTCCTCCCAATCACCCCAGACCAGTCAGAACTCTAAATGCCTCTGAGAATGCAAATATGAGAAAAGTTGTGCCTATTTCCAGATCAACTAAAGCACCATCCCCTACTTGTACAAAAAAGCCTGAGGCAAAACCAGCACCTCGAGAAACCACTGTAACTGAAACACGGCCCTTGCGACGTAATTCTGTTCGGGGTGTTGCAGAAACAGTGCCAAAACCTCTGTACAGGCAAAGCATATCTGTAGAGGAGCCAAAATTCCAGCGAGGGACTTCATATTCAAGCAGTGGCCATTTTGAGAGGGAGCAACTTCAGCACAAAGGCTCCTTTAAAAAGCCAAGCTCTAAGCCTGTCAGGTATGTCCCCAAGCCGAAAAATGATGAAACGAAGATATGCCGCTCTTCGACCAAGCCCCAGCAGTCCCCTGTAGATACTAACAAAAGCACAGCTGTCATCGTTCCCAAGACACCAACTCCCATTCCAAGTTTTGCCAGGAATACAGTGGCCTCTTCCTCGAGATGCGCAAAGGTGGAGTTGCCAGCCTCTTCTAGAGCTCCAACACTCACAAGGTCCCTGTCTCAGAGGCTGCCTAGGATGAGAATAGCAACAACAACTGATGAGTTTAATCCAAGGGAAAACAGTGGAAGCCCTCTGAAAAGAGCAAACAGTGCTAGAATGATTAAACGGAGCACCGACACTGTTGACCACCTAAGTGTTAAGATGGAGTCTATGTTAAGGGAACAAACAGACCTGGAGAAGTCAGCATCCCTTAAATTTAAAGAAGGGAGTCAGACTACAATAGGAAAATTGCTGAATCACTTCTGAAAATATGGGGGGTTATCATTTAGCAATACAGAATGTGAAAACCAGTTTTTTCAACGCTGAAATTTGTCTGTTGTGAAATATCCAAGAAGTTATATTTTAATAGTATCAACTGGTAATTAAGGTACGTTGTGCATCAGGAATGACAAGCTCCTTAGCTGTCTGGTTTTGATCCTGCTGTATGTCTGAATTGAATGTATTCAGATTGACTGATGGAATAGCTGTAAACAAAGTTTCTTTGCTTTTGGGACATAGTACCTCCACACTGATTTTCCATGCTAAAGAAATGATTTTGTCTACTGTGGGGTGGAGGGAAGCAGAACTGGAGATGATGTTCAGTTCTTATGTAACCACTGTGTTTCTAAATATGCAGTTCTCAACATCTTTTGGGGAAAAGATGAAAAGCAGATTGGGATCACTTTAAAACCTTGGCTCCAAGAATATATTGTGCCTGTTGCAGAGTCCATTGCTGGCAATTGGACACATGGAAGCGCTGGCCTACAATAATGGTTAACTAGGACACTGCTGTTTGAGGGGAGGCGCTGCTGTAATACCACCTTGAATTCACAGCATGTCTTAAATTGTATGTGTGTCTGTAACAGGAAAGGGGAAACTCTGCTGGGCAGAATGTTGATTCTCCATGAGTGTGGAAGAACTGCCTTGCATGTACAAGTAGATTAGTCTGTGGAATGACTGGTGCTGGAATGAGTAGAGTTAGCTGAAGGCTATGGTGTTCAGAAACCACAGGTAGCTGTTAGAGAAGATGACTACAGGTGACCTGATTTGTGTCAGTCACATGCAAACTTGCCAGCTTTTGATGTACAAAAGTGCCATATTTATAGTACATATCTCAGATGCTGCAGCTTTGGAAACCTGTAAGAGCTGCAACCTCATGCAGAGCACTTTTCCTACTAACTCTTGTTTCCACTGGTTTTAGCTAATACCAGATGACTTGAAATGCTGCTATGGCTTTGGTTAGTAAGAGCCATTGGTTTCCCTGCTGCCTCCCTTTTGTCAATATGACCAGTTGGCATGAAACACACACATTCCTTTTATGCATGATGGAAGGCACTTTTTTTTTGTAAAATAAGCTTAATTTGCTTCAGATATGGATTTTAACACTACCTTTTTAAACTTTACTTTTTGATAAGCTTTTTTAAAAAAGTTAAAAAAAGAAACAACTTGCTGGGGAAAATATGACCCTAGTTCAGACTAGGATTTTGAGAAGGAGGGAAAACCTGTCGTGATGTGTTCTGCCTTCTTGTCCCTTTTCTAGGTACATATATGTAGGTGCAGAAACTGGCTGTTACGTCAGCCTCTTTATTTAAATATGTGCTATCTTTTTCATTTATAAAAACCTCATTTTAAAAAATGCAATGGAAATATTCTAACACCTTCTCTTATCACTGCCACTTTCTTACTCACCCCATGAAGATTCATCTGTCTCCATTAATTACGTGCACAGATGTTTCTATAAACCAATAATTGACACAAACGTCGGGTCAGCTAGTTTAGTAATTATACCATTCAATCTCATTACATTATTTTTCATATATATATGAATGGTTTTCAGAATCTCCTTTCTGGAAAATATGCAAAAATGCCATCAAATGCACCACGGGCCTTCCATACAAGCCACCACCCTGTTGCCATGGTTGGCTTAATTCTAAATGTTACTGGAGGGAACCATTGCTTTCTACCCTGTGAACTTCTCAGATAATTCTCCTTCAAAGGTTAAATATAAAAGCATGTTCATTTGACCCTAGCTGTATCTTTTTTGTGTGCTCATCTGTGAGAGCAGGTGATGGATTTTTATTACCTTTTGATGGTAGTGAGCTTGAAAAGAAAATAATTTAATTGTTATGTGTTTGGAAACTGTAAGTAAAATCTCAGTATGTGTAAAAATGAGCTGGATGTATTTAATGGACCATTTATACATTTCTGAACTTAACTTGCTAGTTTAATAAAGTTCCCATTTATGGGGTTTGTGTTATATGTTTCAGTTCTCATGGTGTATGCTTATATTAGTTTTGCTTAATATTCTAGTTGTTAAAACTACTTAGCCCCATATTGGAACACATTATTTTTTAAATTTGAGGGTATGTCTTGAAGAATACTTGAAATGCTGTATTGTTGACTTGCTTTTTGAACTAAATTTGACATTCTGCCTATGGTTTGGATCCCTTTCGCCACAAAATTTTAATTTACTTCTTCTGTGAACTGAGGATATCAGCAATAAAGGTAACTGACTGACTGACTGACAGCAAGAGTATTGTGCAAGCCGCTGGTGTGACTGGCAGTGTGGGGAAGCAAAAGAGGAAAGAATTTAAAAGGCTTTAAGTTGACAGCTGTGGGGACAGGAAACTGACGTTCATGGCCCAGTTAACAAAGCATAGGGCAATTCCAGATCCTCACTAGTATTAGTTCCCTGTAAGTAAAAGGAGATTATATATATATTAGATATGAAAACTAGTATATCAATGTTGATTTGGCTCCATCCATATGTGAAGTTAGGGGATGACTGCCTGCCGCTTCCAACTGGATAAATGGATTCGTCCAGACATATCATTGTCTCTCTGGCTACCATTGACTGATATGTCACAAAGGAGTGGAGAAGCCTAGGACCAGAGAAGACTTGACTTCTAAAATTAGGGTAGCAATTTTGGTTAAATAAAACTACATAATTAGGGTCTGTGTTATGTAACATCTTGTGGGGGTTCAAAAGCCACTGAATCTGCCATGGAAAACAGATTGAATGCAAAGGGAATGCAAAGGAATAGCATTTATCAAATATTTTCTTAATCTCGTGTATGACACCCCCATCCACTTCCCCTCCCTCAGAGGCAATATTTTCTCTCAATTTTTATTTCCCTTTTGTGACTGAGCCGCTCTAATTATCTGTTTTCTTCTTTCCTGAAGAATTCTACCTGTCCTACCCTGTCACAGTATAATATTTTGGCTCTTTGCTCAGCCCAGGAACCTGAGGGAAGGAATGGGAGCCTCCTTTAACTTCTACAACTTAAATGGCATTCGAGAAGTTTTTATATTCCAAATTAACAAAATATTTTATTCAACATAAGAGGGGAAGGGTCAGGTGAAATCAACGGTAAAACGTCTGAGGTAACGCAATGTAGATAACTCTGAGGTAAAATCAGTACATGCACAGACTTTAGTTCTTATGTTTCCAGCTAATGAGAGTTTCTTAAGCTATTCAGAGTTACTTAAAAACTTTATGTTGAGAGGCTTTTGTCCCAGTGTTTTCCAAACCCTCCAGCACACTGACACTGTCTTCGAGTATTCTCTTGGTTTCCAGAAGGCTGGTACACTCTTTTCAGTACCCAAACCCCTTCTCTTGAAAAAACAGTACTCATCTTGAGTTTTTAACTGACTCTTAAGGTCTCTAAAGACAGTTTCTAACCACACCAGACCAGGGATCTCTGCACTCTTCAGAACTACCTGTTTGACTGGATAGGGAAATTCTCCTCTCACTAGAAGTTCTATCCCCTTTCTTTGGGAGTCTTTGCATACTTCCCAGACTTCCTTGCCAACTTTCCCCCAGTTCTCCTGTCTGTGTTAAACTGCTCTCAGAATTCCTAAACTGTCAGTACTTGACACTTCTCAGCTAGGACTGAAATCAAATCTCCTCAGCATCCAGTTCAGAAGTCTTTCTCTGCTCACCTGATGCTAACCAATTGGTTCTCTTGGAACAGCCTATCACTTAATTCTGTGTAGAATTAACCCTTCACACTCCTTTATCTGTTTACACAGCACATCTAAGCTGCTTAAAAGTGCAGTCTGTCACAGCTGTGTGTCATGAATTCTGCTACTAGGATGCAGGTTTTAATAAAATTTGAAGTTTTGTTTTGCTTCCAGGATTTGGCATGAAAGGGTAGAAGAATAAATGGAAGGTTGTGGTTTGGTGGGTCATTTAGATTATGAGCCAGGAGTTACTAATTGTGCAGGGAGCTAGAACCACACTTAACTTCTGCAAGTTTCTCACTTGTTTTCTTTCTAACTAAGGCTAAGGCACGCCTCCTAATTTTTGGATAAGATTGTCTTTAGAATATTTTAAAAGCCAACATGTCTGGATCTGTTGCCTTATTAGTTTAGAACATCTTGTTTGGGAAATCTCACTTACATAGCTTTCAGGAGCTTGGTAGGGAGTTACGTAGTTGTTTGGAGAGGGTGGGAGGCAGCATATACTAGTAATTCTACCACTCTGTAAAATGGGATAAAACTATCTTGTCACATATCTCCTTAGTTGCCATTTGAGTTCTTGAATTGTACAATGCAGCAGTTATATGAAGAAAAACCCAACACTAAGAGTTTCATGAATGAAGTTAGGGAGAAAACACTGAGTCCCTATCAATTCTCAGTATCCCTTCCTTGTAATAATTTGCAAATGGCACACTTACTATATACTGGTAAATTATATTCCTGAATATTTTAAAATTAAGAAGAATGACTGAAATGTATTTTGAATTACTACTAAATTTTGAAGTCCTACTAAAAATTATCTTTAATTCATTATCAGCTTCAAAACTTTGAATGCTGGGTTAAGGCCTTTTTGGGCTTAGCATTTGTATAACAAGAAGCCTAATTGCTTTCTGTATGGAAATCAACAAAACAAACCTTGAACAAAGGAGTTAAGTTAAAAGGTCTGCATGTGAGTCAGCGGCCAACAATATCCTGCTGCAGTACAGAAATGACTACAATGAAAGATCATGAACCCGGGACGTGCATGCAAGGTTAAGAATTTTCCAGCCCACAAAAAAAGAAGATACCAGTTTCTACCACTCCCAATTCAGCTTTTGATTTCTGTCTCCTGTTCTGCTTTTTATATTTGAAAATGTGAATCTGCATGAAATTATGCATTTTAGAGATGGCTGCTTTTCTGTGCCAGAAGATCAACTACATTAAAGAACTGAGTGGACTTTTAGAGGCTCTCTTAGCATCATGAAATGTCTGAGTTGTCTGGAAGACCAGTCCAGTTCTCCTTTTGTATCCTTACATTTTCTACTACTTGTATGAAATCTGTTCCTCTTGGTTTGTATCTTACACATTGGAGGGATTGCCTGGCAACACTTCTCTTTTGAGACATTATGGGCCAAGTAAGATGATGCAAAGGTGCCCTAGATTCCTGTTGTGGGAAAGATGGACTACCTACATGCTTGTACCTCCCATTTAGCATGTCTGTTTAATCTCCAAATATTTATGTGGTGCTTTAACATTGGAATTAGTTGCAGGCATGTATGTCTGATTCACATGCAAAGTTTTCACACAGATGTTTAGAGGGTTACTATACAAGTGCTCCCCACCATAAATAGGGGTCCAAGGTGCCATCTTACTATCCAATGTCACCCCTATCCAAAATGTACAATCTATGACTCTCTGGTAGTGGCCTGTGTTGAAGCATGAAATTCTTTAAAATAGTTGCCCATTATATGACTGCACATAGAAGGCTTTCTGCAGGTGAAACTAAAATACGCTTAAAATCAAAACATGCTAATGGAAACAGTTTTTGTTGTTCAGTCACACAGTCGAGTCCGACTCTTCGCGACCCCATGGACCAGATCACGCCAGGCCTTCCTGTCCTCTGCTGTCCTCTGAAGTTTGCTCAATTTCATGTTCGTTGCATCTATGATACAGTTACACCAGATTAATTCTGAAACGTTGATCAAATTCTAGCATTCCTGGCAAGTTTGCTGACATGACCATGAAGAAAATACTGAGTGCCTCATTGACCCTGAGAAACAGATTTTAGCTAAGAGACTGTAAAAATTTCTCTTTCCAATGTGCTAACTTCCTTTCCTTTGTTGTTTCTTCCTTGTGATTCTATAGTGTATTTAAATACAAAGATAACCATTAGCATAGTGACTTCATGTTGGGAGGGCTGTTATAAATGCATAGTCAGTTCTTAGCAAGGGTGGCCTTGCTGAGGAGGGTGGAAATTGCCTAAGCTATCAGCTGACTCCTACTCCAAGGCAAAGAGTGTGGGAAAATTCTATCAAGCTTCATGCTTTTGTTAAGCAAGGTGGCACTGCATATTTGCCCTTGCTCCCCCCGCCAAATTTCCCCCCATCCCTCCCAGTTATAAAATTGTTTAAACGTTTTAAAAGTACAAGAGGGGCTATGAACAATTAACTGCTTTGAATTCCTGTTGTTCCCTTCATCAGTGCACACATGGCAGCAACAACAACCGATAGGAAACCCAAAGCAAAACTGTACACCAGCCTTGGGCATTGCACTATTCTAAAATTATCGTAGAAAAGTAGTGACTGTCTCAAAGGGAAAAAGGCAAGCAGAATAAATTCATGTAGGACCAGAATGGGTTTCTGACTACTTACTCTTCTTTCCACTTGGTAGAAAACTTAAGCAAAGAAAGCAGGCTTAAATTCCAACAGTTAATTTTCAAATGTTGAAAGAGCAACCACCCACAGCCAATAATAAGTACATGTCAGTGAAGAAGTGAGAAGTGCCTCACGAAAGTTCATACCCTGAGCCTGTCTGCAGGGAAGGCAGCATACAAATCAAATAAATAATAAATTTTGTTAGTCTTTAAGGTGCTATTGGACACTTGCTCTTTTCTAAAGGCAGTCATGTATGAGTCTCCCAAACTGGTGGATTTTTGTTTTTACTTCATTTTATACCCTGCCTTGCTTGGTGCTGGAGAAGACAGGTGGGCCTGATGTGATGTGGTCCATGGGGTCACAAAGAGTTGGCATCAACTCTGCAACTGAACAACAACAACTTGCTCCCTAGTGGGGGATCCAAAACAGATTGCATACTTGAAACTGCTTTATATCGAAGCAAGCTCTTAGTCCATCAAGATCAATATTGGCTACTCAGACTGGCAGCAGCTGTCCAGGGTTTCAGGTGGAGGCCTTTCACATCACCTACCACCTGATCCTTAACTGGAGAT